GGTAATCAAATTATTAACAAACTTCATTAATGTTAAAAACAAATGGCACAGCTTTAGTATTAGTCCTTTTTGGCGAGAAATTTGTTTGGCGACATTTTGGAGCGATAAATGAAAAATTATGATAACTTTGGTAACCCTAAATACTGAGCTTCAAACATGCCGCCATTTCTGTCCACGTAACTTTAACGAATTTGATAGGTATCAGAGCTTTGATGGCAGGAGGGATAAATTGTGTGTTTTTCTTAAAGTTACTTTTGTGTTCGGAAAGCACAACATTTAAAATATTTTTTAAAAAGCCAATTTTTTTATAGTTAAAACTGGTACTTTTAATATTACATCACATGAGTCTTGACATTTTTTCATATGTCAACTCTGCATATTATTATAAACTCCACCCCCCAAGGCAAAAAAACACATTTTCAGTAGCATGAGGTAAACTTTTGGTATTTCCTTTGCTAAGGAGATCAAAATTACCATGGTCTAAAAATACTTATTTACCTCATATTAGAACTATAGGGATGTGTAATTGCATGAATTCATAGGCTCAAATCAGGACCAAAATCAGGTTTCATTATTGCTTTTATAACATTTTCATAATTTGTCTGACTATAAAAAATATAATGTTGCTTAGATTATGGAATATATTGCTTATAATTTAGAGTTCTCGGTTGATCTTTACATTACGGTAACTGGTAGTTTGGCGACATTTTGGAGGCGATAAAGGTTACTACCTGGGACTTTGGCAATAATGTGAGCAGTACTGAGTTCCGATTACGCATTATTTTGTGTGGGGGAAATGAGAGATCATTGTATATGTCATGTGATATTAATGGACGAATTACGGTTCTTTAATCGGAAAAGGGGGGAAATCGGGAAAAAATCTGGAAATTTTGTATTTGGCTTTATTCTGTGTTGTGTGAAATAGTGTTTGTGAATTTTTGGATCCCATGGCCGTAAGTAAAGTGAATTCGAAATGGGTATTTAGTGGTATTGAAAAGGATAGTAAGAAATGTTTTTTAAGGTTGTGTGAGAGAGAAATAAACATGTTTTATTATGTTATTTATTTTACCTGGTATCTTGCTTTGAAAGATAAGTATGATTTTAAAGATTTTGAAAGAGAATGAAGAAAAGTGTATCCGCCACGTAATGAAGATTCTGAAGGAGATTAGGTAAGTTAGTATTTTTAATTATTTTTATGCATTGTTGGAAATGTAAGGTGGAAAGGAATTTGGTATTATTGGGAAAATTGTTATTAGCAATGATTTAGTTTAAAGTAATTAGGATTGTAAGGTAATTTTTATTAATTGAATGTATGTGCTCATGTATATTTTAAGTGGTGTTTTTGAATTTAATTATATTTTAATGAAATGATAGTTATTTTGTGAATTTTATACTTGTAGGAATTTGGTGTATGTTTAAGTTGAAATAAATGTGCATGGAAATAATTTAAATATTTGATAATAAATATTTGTAATGCTTCATGTATGAATTCGTGGTGACGTTATAATGTAATAGATGATTTAGAGGTAAAAGTTTTTGGATATTTTATTTATTTTATATGTGGAAATGTTCATATTTGTAAAGGGTAAATACTTTTTCGCGATCATGTAATTTCATATATGTTCTTTTTACCGGGTTTAAAGATTGAGAAAATTGTCATGTATTTTCGTGAAATTTTTTTAATTTATGAGATATAAGCAGTGTACATGGATATAGTGAAGAGTGTGCAGAATGCCATTTTTGTGCAATTCTGGGATGTTTTTTTAAGTAAAAATAAGTCGACGTGTACATGGTTCAGTGATATTTTAATGAAATGATAGTTATTTTGTGAATTTTATGCTTGTAGGAATTTGGTTTACGTTTAAGTTGAAATAAACGTGCATGGAAATAATTTAAATATTTGATACTAAATATTTGTAATGCTTCATGTATGAATTCGTTGGTGACGTGTATAATGTAATAGATGATTTAGAGGTAAAAGTTTTTGGATATTTTATTTATTTTATATGTGGAAATGTTCATATTTGTAAAGGGTAAATACTTTTTCGCGATCATGTAATTTCATATATGTTCTTTTTACCGGGTTTAAAGATTGAGAAAATTGTCATGTATTTTCGTGAAATTTTTCGAATTTATGAGAAAAAAGCAGTGTACATGGATATAGTGAAGAGTGTGCGCAATGCCATTTTTGTGCAATTCTGGGATGTTTTTTTAAGTAAAAATAAGTCGGCGTGTACATGGTTTATGTGTATGTGTTATTTTGAAAAACGCGTAAGGTGTATGGTATTGTGCACTTTTTCCGAATTTTGCAGTGAATATTTGTCATGATTAAGCAGTTTTGTTTGATAAAATTTCTAGCATAAGTATAATTCGGCTAGTAGATTGTTGGAAGAAGTGTTCAGTAGATAAGAAGAAAAGAAACATGTCTTTACTTCGTGAAGACAAAATGGCGGCGGGGAAAAAAAAATAGAGGGTTGCTGTAGGGGAGTTGGTCGCCAAAAAATCGCCAAGTTACCGTAATGTAAAGATCAACCGAGTTCTCAAATTTTGTAAATCTTACAACCTAACAGCTGTATATGAATAACCTTCACTGAGTATTATTATTTTTATTAATAGTATGTTGACATAACAGTCGACTTTATATTTTAAATTTTATGCAAATTTTCTACATTACTAAAACATTTTATCTAACAGAAATCTGAATTTTTTGTAATAAAAACTCTATAATAAAAGTAAGAGTACAATTTATATATAAAAATTTGACTACATGGCAAGTACTTAGATACTGATTTCAATGTCTTTAAATGTTATTATCATAAAGTTTAGATATATTCTTATTAAGTTAAGATATACTTTTATTCTATTATAAAGTTTAGATGTACAGAACAGAAGGTACACTTTGTGCTTATGACTCAGTCAACCACTTGTGGCAAGATAACTTATGATAACAATTAAGTTCAAATGTAAAATTTAAATTCAAATAAATTTGTAGCCCAAAGGCTGCACAAATCAATTTAATGCAAAGTTGGTTAAAAACTTAACCGGCATGGAATTCAACTATCAGCAATTATAATGCAAGACTGAAGACTACAAATCTTTTATCTAGCAACCTAGTAATGTGGCCTCAAAAGGCAAAACACGGTTTGTTTTACAAAATAAAAACTTCATTTGGAATCTGGTAAGAAAACGGATGGAGGAAATTGACAGTAAAGATCCCAAGCATAAAATAACTCTGGTTACAAAATAAAGGAACGTTACAATATACTTTGTTTCCTGGTTAATTATTCAGTACATGAAATAGTGTAATGCATTTTTTGTTTGCATCACATACAAATTATTTAGTTTATTTAAATGTCCAAACTGACAGGATTTTGCAAACATATTGACGATATTTTTCTACCTATAGATGCAACACTTCTTCTCTTCAGAAGTAAGATTCAGAATTAAGAAATAAGTAAATAAGAGAGAATTATGAATAGAAAATAAATACACATGCTGGCTAGCAGAAGAAGGATGCCTTCATAAAGTACTTTTTAAGAGAAACTGGCTCAGATTCACATTACATCTACGGAAAACTACTAAAACTCCCATATAGCCAGTCTGAACTACCACTGTTCAGTGGCTATCACTCCACCACTAGTGGATTCCATTGAGTGTTCGAATTTTTCACAGAAATCATCATTTACGATGATTGTTGTATTATTACCATTGGTACAAAATTTACTCATTATGATAATTTAATTTTTGCTTTTAAATTATAATCATAAATTACTTGTAATAAATTAAGGGATTAAAAAATACACACTTCTTAATATTTTTACCATTTACAAAATTTGATCATAAAAAATATTTCTAACACTGGTACAAAACTTGCCCATTATAATTGAATTTGATTTCCTTCACTTTGAAATATTTTTTTTTTTTTTATTTTCTTTTAATAACAGAATCTAAGAAACTAAAGTAACATATACTAGTTTAAAATGCATTTATTAACCTTTTGTAAATTTCATTATTCATAAACATAAAAATTAACCTTTTGTAAATTTAAAATATTAGCTAAGTACTAATATAATAAAATATAAATATGAACTAACTACTTAAAATATTAATGTTTAATACATTATATTTTGTAATTAAAAATATTAACATTTTGTAAATTTCATTACTCGTAACATAATAATTGTCATACATTCATTTACAGTAGTGTTTCAAGAATTTATCATAGCAGTACTAGAAATGTTGAAAATTAGAGAAAGACTGTTTATTCTGATTAAGAGCTTATTTTTTAGGACTGTTATTTAGTCTAGATCGGGTTTTGTTGACAATCCGCCATTTTTTTTCCGATCTTCAAAACCGGGTCTACCTTGGCGACCGAAGTTTGTCGCCAAATAAAAAAATCGCCAAAAGGACCAATACTAAAGCTGTTCCAAATAAATAATAATATTAGTCTATCATTATATAAAAAATAAGCAATGAAACATTCATTTTGTTGTTAACTAAATCACAACATATTTACTAGTCCTATTTCGTTAGTAAAGCAGAAAAAATTACTACTAAGTTCTACCTTTTAATAATTACTAATTTGATGATACATAATAAGAAATATTTGACAAATTTTACGTTAAGGTTCCGCTAAAAAATGAAAATAACTCACAGTCATTTAAGTCATTATTCTGGGTCCTTCTCTCTCAAAATTCAAAATGTGAGCAATAATGTTTCATCAGCGGAAATGCAGCTCACTTTTGAAATGAGAGAACACAATCCCGTCTTGGAACGCAAAGACTTTGGTAGAGTAAATATATTCTTTTCCAAGTTCCTCTTTAAGCCGCGATTAGCACACAGTAATTACGTGCTGTGAGTAAATATATTTTTTAACTTACGACGTTTTATAGCAGACGAGTATGTAAATTTACACTAAAGAAACACTGCGCTATTGCCAGATATAAAAATTAAAATATAGGGCTTTATTTTGCTACAATAGTTTGGCATCACGGTGTGCTTGTTTTGGAAAAGTGGATTTAACTGTCAAAAGAGGGACTGATACCAAATAAAATTAAAATGGAGTGTCTTATAATTGTGATCAGAGATTTTTGATTTGCTGTCATGGCATCTGAGGATAGTGTAACGTTTATTCAAAATGATCTAGCTACCTCTTCGTTCCCTATTTTTGAAGATATAAAATGCGCTGGAAAGCTTTGTGATGTGATTCTGAAGGTGTGCTATTTTGAAATTGTTTATGAATATTTACATATGCAGATAAAACAACATGGTAAAATCCTAGTATACGGTGCAGCCTTGGCGCGACTTTGAAAATTATCGTCAAACACCAAAAATGATCCAAAAAACGTCTATATATATACTATACACTATATACTATGTGTGTATATACGTAGTATATACTATGTTAAACTATATATTTTCTTTGAATGACCCGATACCTACTCATCGTATATGTCCCGTTTTTACTGCTCATCATAAAGTAGCCGAATCCCGTGTGCACCGGATACTAGGATTAAACCAACAAACATTATGTTCAATATAATCGCGATGAAGAAGTGGTATATCCAGATGCAATAAAATTCACCTTTTATTTTCTTCCCCCTTTTTAGTTACTTATCAGGTTTCACATGTTGATTTTTAGTTTTTAAAATTTAATAATTCAAGTTCATGTAATTAAAAATCGCAATCCAGAAATTTCCAAAAACATTAAGGCACATTACATAAATTAGAAATTAGAGAAACATGCATCAAATTTCGCACAATGATTTTTTCGCACAATTTCATATATTTAAAAAAATACAGCCAAAAAATTTCAAAAAAAAAATTAAGTTGCATTATGTAAATTAGAGAAACAGAAAGTAAAACTGTCTATTGAAATTCCCTAAGAGAGCCGAAACATTTTAATTGACATATCCTAGTTGAACCGAGATAATCGATAAGCATAAATTTTCTGATGTAATTTTGATTTACATTGAAATGGACTGTTTGCCTAGTTTATGAAATTGCTTAAATCCAAGCTAGTTTCTTATATAAATTCTGTTGCCTTACAAGAGTATTCTCATGATATATTGAGTGAAAATATTGTCTCATGGTGCCTTGAGTTAGTCTTTTTATTAAAGGAAAAAAAAGGCTAATTTTTTCCTTTAATAAATCTTTACATGTAAAAATAATTAAAAAGAGAATAAAAACAACCATGTTATGCTGCTGAAGTTTCTTGCTGTAGAATATAATTTGTTTGAAGGTAAATATAACCACATACATTGTTGGCATATAATGATTGATATGGTAATCATGGTGATTTCATCATCCAAATGCGACTTGAATATAGATGCTTTTCATCAGCTGTTTCCAGGATATTTTATCTATGAATTTGCTGATCTGTACCATCTTTCATCTTTTATAGAAATTAATCCTTCTAACTTTTTTTGGCACTTGTGCATTATCCTGTCAACTGTGAAATTGTGGCCAAGCAGCTCAAGTTAGCTGTAGTTATGGATAAACATAACACGCTCATAGCATCTGACTTTCATTTGATGCAACTGCAAATGACTCTAGATAAGGCACATTTTGATTTTATGAACAAGGATGAAAATTTACTGTTACTGCTGTATTTTGTGTTTTGCTTTTTGGAAAAATTAGGAATTTGGAATCTGCTTTCTACAAAATAGTGAGCCATGATTTTTTTTTTTTTTAAATTATGGTATCTAACCTTAAAAAAAGTCTGTATGAATGGGCACAGTATGGTCAATTGCATATGGCTGATGAAAGAAGAGTAATAAATTGATAGATTGGAACATTTACCTGCGGGCTCATAGTCTATTAAGCAGAGCTTCTGGTAAGATTGGAGGGCCTAACAAAATACCTTATATTTCCATGCATTAGCCAAGAATTTTTGGAACTTTTTCTAAAGCTAAATTATGGGGTTTGGCTTATATATGGATCTGCTTTTGCAAAAAAAATTTTTTCTGTTAGCTTGGCGCAAATGATAAATGACCGAATATCATACTTTTTTATTTCTTTAGTTTATGTTTCTTAAGTTTATGAAAAAAAAAATGAATTTTAAATGAAATGAGTTGTTTTATCTTCAAAATTTTTATAAATCTTTTTTTTTTTTTTTTTTCACTGTCACCAAAACAAAAAATATAATGTTGGTGAAATTTGTACCCCATTTTCTCCACTCTTGAACATATTTTTCATTTGCAAAGAAATGCCAAACAGCCATACTGTCTTTTGAATTTTCATCAAACTTGATCACCAGTAATTTAAAAATTTGTCATATAAGAATTTCTCTTCACGCTCATCTTTCAGAGTTAATAAAGAGATACAAAAAACCAGACTACCACAGATCGTATACAAGGCAACAGACGAATGAGAAAAATATGCTAGCTTCAGCTAGCATTATGAGAGTTAAAACTGTTGTCATTTAACATCTGACGTTTTACTTTGCAATGATTTGATTTGAAAATAATCCAACCATCTCCCCAGCTTAGCAACATTTTTGCTATCATGATGACATGTTTGAATACTACAGGATTATTATTATTATTATTATTATTTAAAATTTTTATTTTGCTTCTGTACAGGTTCTGGTGTAAATTTTTGAAAAAAACTAAATGCACTGTCAGCTTATATTCAGAAATATACAGTAGGAGAAATTGATGGAAGCCTTTTTATGAAGTGCATAGACAAAGAGGATCAAATACTGATTGTTTATTAAATAAAGAAGCATCAGCTCCTTCAGAATTCTCCAGGAATGATTGGCAGAACTTCAGTGGCATTTCTGCTAGTTTTTATAGTTGATGAGATACTATTTAAGTGCCACTTTTTTGTTTGAGGACATGAAAGATATAATTTATAGCACACACACACATGAGGAGGGAAACTAGAAGCAATGCATCATAAAAGAAATTTAACATTATTGAATGTGATGTTTTGAAGCATGCCTTGTTGAACTTCAGGAAAAGAGTCAGCATTGGATAACATATCAATCTGATCCCTTGGAAGATTTTTAAGTCATAAGTTGTTATGCCAGTATTAGTAGTTACACAGCTTTTCAGAATTAAAGGAAAGGACCATGTTTGAATACAGTTTTATAGTCAAATTTATGTAAATTTAAAAATGGAAAAATGGTCTTCTGCATTTTGAAATAAATCTTACTTTAATATGGTATGTGGTCATGCAGAAGAAATCAGACCTTACAGCCTGATTTTGTAGAATTTATGAAACTGTTCAGGTCTTGAGAAATTACACACTAGTGTTTTGAAAATGTGTTTTTCAGGTCTTGCTGGGCCTGAGGTTTGAGTTTAGTGGGATCCCTCACATGCTTAATCATTTTTATGTCTGGTGAGTAAGCTGGTTAATCCATTCAAGTGATACCTTTTGTTTCCAAGTATTCTAATATCAGAGATGTTTGATGAAGTTAGCATTGCCATCCGTTCATAAAACATCTGTGCTAGTATTACTCCTAAGCAGCCCCATATCATATGGGGTTCCAAGACTTCATATAAGGTGAAAGATATCCAATTCAGTACTTTAATTCAAATAAAATCATATTTAAAGTTATACTTCAGGCTATTATCGAAAATTGTCACTTATCTCTTCATAGTCCCATTCCTCTTGGCTCCTAATCGTGACAACAATACAAACTTAAATGGGCTGCTTGTACAAGGACTCGAACCGTTAGTTTTCTTGCATGAAATAAAACCTTGTAAAGTCTTTGGGCAGTATGTCATTTGATTTGAGTTCCTGTGGCCGCCTGAGAATTTAAAAGCAACTTTCTTGTAGCTACTTTATGGTTTCTTTGTGTCAATTATGATAGAAAAGGATCTTTGGATGCAGTTGTTGCCATTGTAGGCCTCTGACCAGGTTGTCTAACTGCTTAAAAGTGATTTTTAGTTCTTGATATGACACCTTAATGTATGTTTAATTCTTGTATAATCTCCATTGTCTAGTGTCTACCAATTAACTTGCATTTTTACTATTCACTTAAATGATGTCCATGAGTCATAAAAATCATATTACCATTAAACAACATTACAGACCCAAATTTCAACATCTATTAATTGTACGACATATTGTTAGTTGCCTAATTTGCATTTCATATGCTATGCCAAATCTATGTTGTGTTAATTTGCAAAGGTTTTTGAATATAAATGGACTCAGTTGCATGAAATCTAGATGAAAGGAATCTATTATGAAGATCTTAACTCTTGTATTAAAAAAAAAGATTGATTGAGGAATAGATAAATTTAAGAGCATAAATTTATTACCCAATCGAAGAGACATTGGCAAACTGATCATCTGAACACATTCTAAAAATGATAATTCTTTGAATAAACACATGTGAATATAATAACAGCTATATATTTTAGCTTTTTTTTTTTTTTTTTACTATAGGGAAAGATCATTTTCTATTTTGAAACAAATTAAATTAGCTGCAATAATTGTTAGAACAATCTAAATTGAGTAACTTAAGCATACTGCTCGTAGAATCTGATACATTAGGAGTAAAGTGAAATTACATACAGATTTTTGGAAAGTAAGTAATAAAGAAAAAGTATATCATATTTTTTAATGTAGTTATGATTTCGTATAAGTCTATTACAAATATGTATTCTGCTATCTTCTGATACTGGCACTGCATGGATGAATCCCATGTTTTCATATATTAGGCGGGAGGTTTGAAAATCATCAAAAAAGCCCCAAAAGGATGTTCTCATTGCATACTCATAAACCGCTTGCAATGGGATCCGACTCCACTGTGGTGGAGTTTTAAAATTTGAATTCTCTCAGCATTTCTTGCTGAAATGGTAACTCAGCAGCACCACTCCCAGGCATTGGGAGACAGACCGCACAGGGTGAAGAAGCCTATCGAAAAACTGCAGTTCTGGCCATCATGCTATCCCACTCGGATGGCCATGACTATCCATAACAGCGGCTGCCCTTCTGGCAACAGGAAACAGGTTCATGTTATTGTGCCCCAGAGCCATTACTGTTACTAAGACAGTGTATGCATTTGTATGAGTGAAATTATAAACTACCTTTATTATATTATAAATATTGAATTAAATAAAAATGTTAAAAGATGATATATTCAAAATTAAATTTATTTTTCAGTTGAAGTTATCTGATTAATTACGTGTTTAATTTAATTATTGCTCAGTTCAGTGTGATTAAGATGGTAAATTGTTTTAGTCTAGGGCACTTATTAAGATGGTCCTGACTGTTAGAACAAAAGGACAAAATATTATTTTACCATATACTGCACTTTTGTGAAATAAAACTGCACCGAAAAAATTCTCCATTAAAAACTGTTGTGTAATTTCAGTTACATACAGTATCTGTTGATATTAAACTTTGCATAATAGTCAGATATTGTAATATTTTTATTGTGTGCTGTTATTGTAATTACACAATAGTACTTGAATTCAAAATGAAATTGTATGTTTAAATAATTTGTATAAACCTTTGAACTATTGGTTGAAATAATAATTTCATTAACTGCATTTTTAGTTGCTTGTATTTTTAACTGACTTGGGGGAAAAAAAACTGTTGCCTATTAAGAAGCAGCTAAAATGCAGGTATTTCATCATGTTTTATAAATAGTCCTCCATCTGACTATATAATTGATGTAAGTTTTGTATTTTAACTTCTAACAAATGAAATGTTTTTAATGATTGATGTGTTATACTACTGTTACCTGAATTTCAATTAGCAAAATTGGTTTGTTAAAATAATAATAACACATTGCAATACTTTTTAATTATCTGCACCCCCTATTTCAACTTTTGGTAGAATGGTCCAGTTTTGGCACAATAAACAGTAAAAGTCCAACTATCTGGCATTCAGTTAACAAGAAAGCTCAAATAGCTAGAATATTTAGAAGTTAAGAAAGTTTTCTTCAACCCCCCCCCAAAAAAAATTAGTAAAGGAGAAATTTGTAATGCTATTATAGAGCTGTTTATACTATTAACACATATACATTGTTTCCAAACAGTGTGATTTAGTGTCAGTCATGGATAAACATGATGCTGAATACAGTCATAAGAAGTTTATTTTAGTGTAATGTGAATTTGATTAATTCTCGATAAGCTAGTTTATAACAGATTGATTGTTTTTATGATTTTAGAACAAATTTTTCTCACTGATATGGCTTTTCTAATGTGAATTCCCTTTTTCATACACTCGTATCTAGAATTTTCAATGTAAGCAAAATTTAGCATTTCATAAACTTTACTGTATATATGTGTGTGGCAAATAAATAATCTGTGGATGCATGTTATTTACATGTTTCATATTGAATGGTAATTTCATTAAACAGCATCAACCAGCTGTTAAAAATGTAAGTAATGACTATATAGATTTTTTTTTCACACAAAATTTCTTGTTTCTTATAAAATATTTCTTGTACTCTGGCGTCCAAAAATTCATGCAATGCAAATTAGCACTTTTTGGAAGCATAGTTGAATTTGAGTGCCTAAAAATTGTTGTGGTTGTAAATGACAGTATGAAAATATATTTTAAAGCCAATTACTATTAACTATATGAATATCTGCTAATTAGGCAGTATTTGAACCTGACTGAAAGCATTCACCTCAATGATAGCATTCTGAAGGGTTAGAGGAAGTTGGTTCATTTAAATTTTGATACAAAGTGGATATAGCTTTTGCAAGTTAATTTTTGATGATATTGATGATAGTATTCTTGTTTCTATAGCTGAAAGAACATGAATGGCAGATAGGGAATGCTGGCCTGCTTTAAGATGTATTGAAGCAGGATAGTGAATCAAAGAAGTCATTCTTTTCTTAGGCATTGATCATTCGGTAATTTCTTGAATGTAGAAACAACTCTAAACAAGTCAAATAATTGTCTGGTGACCTCTGTCGTGTCGACTGATGCTTACAAACCTTTTTGAAGGTTGGTATATTGCTGTAGTAGCCAAATGAAATCAACGAGTGATTTTCACATCTGTTATCCATAATTCCAGCATCACTTTGTAATGACAATATTTGCTACTACTGTGTGCTGAAGGCATCACATGAAAGGGAAATTATGCCCAAAGAAACAAGATTAAAACCGTGTTGTCAACATTTTGATTGGATTGTCTCAGATTGATGCAATGAATGAGTTTACAAAGGAGTCCAGATTTGCCGTGGAATCAGATGATGAGTGTGTAAGGATCTGCAGAGAACAAGGTATATGGAATCAGACCCAAAACATCATTGAACATTTAATGCACATTCAAAAGTGGCAATTCATCATCACACATTCATCATGCATTTAGAGGTGGCAGCATCATGGTGTGGGCTGGAATTTCAATGATATATTGCACCTAATAACACATATTTATGAGAAGGCTTCATGATGGCTACTTGGTGTCAGGAGCAAGTCCTACATTATAAAATTTTATGTTGCAGCAGATGGTCCTGATTTCTTCTTTTTGGATAATTATACGTCTTCCAATTGGGCCAACATTGTTAACAAGTAGCTGCTGTACTCTTGCTACCTTAATCCTATTGAAAATCTTTGGGATGGCTTTGCGTGTGTTGCCTTTGCACATTTTACTCGGATAGTTGGAAACTATCCAAATGGAGAATGGCCATCATTTGCATCTTCAGCTATTAATCACCTCACTGAAAGCATAGGCAGTTGCTGTATGTGGAGGTCCAAAGTTTTCACATACTGTATTAATCTAAGTTTTGTTTGTTTGTTTTTTATCTTTAAAAATCAGTTTCTTAATGATCTAAATATGTCATCATTATACAGAGGCTGTTCACACATTTTTTAGACGATGTATATTGTATTCACAAAACTAAATTACATAAAATTCTTGTGTTTTAAATGTTCTATTTGACATCCCTTATTCTGAACTAGCTTTCGGCACTGCAATTTCCAGGATAATAATGCCTTTTGAAGTGGCAGAAGAGGTATTCTATCCCATTCCTCCCGAACAGCTTTCCTGTTAGGGTTTTGGGTTTAGGGTCCTGTTAGGGTTTTGGGACAACGTTTGGATAATGCAGTTTTTAAAAGTCCGAAAGCACAAAAATCCATACGTGACACATAGGGAGATTTAGTAGGGATATCAGTGAAGGGTATAATACCAGTTTTTTGTTCAATTTCTTTTAGGAAATTTACAGTGGATTTCGATGTGTGACTGCTAGCTTTGTCCTGATGGAGTCTCGCAGATTGATGGCACTGTGGGTAAAGCGATGCTCTTTCATTCAGAAAAATTGGTGATAAAATATGTTCCTGATAGTATTTGGAGTTAATCTTGACATTTTTTTGCAATTTCTTTATTTTTAATTTGCCATTATAAGAAAAACCAGCAACAATCATGAATCCCTTAGAAAAACTTTCTTTCGATTCTTTGAACCATGTACTTAAATTTTTTGTTATAGGAAATTAGATGGAATCAAAAGGTTTGTTCATTATATCCAAAGGTTTGCTGTAAGCCGGGTTCACTAAAATGGGGATTGACTGTATATAATTTAGTGTGATATAGTTTTGTTGCTGTTTTTATTGACATTTTAATAATTATTGAGACACTTCTCTCATTTTCAGAATTGTTTAAGAAGAATATATTATGTTGAATTGGAACATTAGTAGGATTGCCAATTAATATAAAATTTTCATGAATGACTGATATTGTGAAATTTATCTTTTAGGTTGAAGATCAGTGCTTTTATGCCCATAGGGTTATTTTAGCTGGCACCATACCATACTTTCATGCTATGTTTACCCATGATATGGTTGAAAGTACAAAGAATGAAATAACTATCAAAGAAATAGATCCTGAGTATGTAATAACATTTTTAACTGTGCTTTCTTATTATATATCAATAATGTAAGCATACAAATTCTAAAATAAAAATTTTAAATCATTGAGCTCTTTTAAAATGTATGATTGTTTTAAAATGCCAATTTTTTGTCCATATAATGAAATAAATTGATGTTTTATATTCTTCTCTATTTAAATCTACTTGGTAAATGGTCACCATAGTAGGTGTGCAAAATAGCAGTGTTATAAAATGTGAAGCACTCATGATATCATTGCTTTTGCATTGTATGTAAGGAAGAATACTGATGTTTTCATGCCAGTTTCAGTTTATAAAATACAGTGGTCTGTATCTATCATGGTGTACATTTTGTTTGGACATGAAAGATTTTATTTTGTATATGATATTTGTTTGGAATATGACTTAAGTTCAGTGAGTTGTATAGGTTTTATATGATATATGTTAAAATATTCATTTTTTTTAATTAAATAGGTTTTTAGGTAGGTTTTTTAATTGGCTGCCATAAATTTTTATTTCTTTTTAAACAATTATATCTAATTTATACTGTTAAATTTGAAAACAAGTAAAATTTTATGTAATCCTATATTCACTTAGGAAATGGAGAAAAATAAATTTCTCGGATAAGACTTGGGGGGGGGAAGAGGAAATTAAATTTGCTTATAAATACAGGGAGGCTGAACTGATATAGTATGCATTGTAAAATTTGTTCTGAAATTATAGAGAAATTTACTATTTTTTAATAGCACTAAGTATGATAAAAAGTGTTTTTGAAGATTTTAGCTGTCCTAAACATTATTCTTGAAAGCACGTTCCATGTACTCTTTGCCATAAATATGATTTTTGGTACTATTCCGTTTTGAGTACCGTAAAAAATTGCAGTGAAAAACAATGCGCAAAAGCACCAAATCTAGCAAACATGCCCATTTAACAGCAAGCCAAATCTAGCGTACGTGCTAAGTTCAAATTGCGTAAGTTTAGATAGTTCTATATTTATTAAGATGCCATTGAAATACTAGTTCTGTTTTTAAATCCTTTTTTGATATCCTATGAATTTAACAATTTGGGAATTGCCCATGACGAAAAGTCTGCAATCCATGTACACATCGACCTATTTTCACTTTAAAAAAAAATCCCAGAATTGCACAAAATGTACTAACACACCGTTGACTTTATCTATTACACATCCCATTTTATTTCTTAAAAAGTAAAAGAAAATTGACAAAATAAATTGTTTTTTACATTATAAAAAAGCGCAACAAATAATGGGCGATTCTGCACTTAACCGAGAATTTTTGCAAAGAAAAGGCATCATTATTATAGAAAATTATGTTTGAAACCAACGAGATGAAATTATGCTTTAGCGATAAGTCGGTAGCGAAATAGCGTGCAAGAATATCATTCAGTTATGTTCATCACTTTTTTTTATATAAATTATAATAATGATCTGAAATAGTTATTTACTCTTATGCTTCCTTAATTTGTTAGCCTGTTTTTTTATATATTATAATAATAAAAAAGTATTATATGAAAATTAACTTCATCTAATTAAAACAATACTTTAACAGTTATTTACTATTATACTCCTTTCTTGTGTTAGGGTTGCCGCAATTATTTTTGGCAGCACTGGCATCAACAATAGTTTGGCGATTTTTTACGGTCCTCAAAAAGGAATAGTACCTGATTTTTTTAATCCCTTATAAGATATAGTATACAAGATAAAAGACATGAGGTACAAGATATGCCTACTTAATATAATTACAAAACACAATTTAAATTAATTATTATCACATTTTGTTAACTAAAATTAAATATTAAAGAAAAGCTCAAAGATTCATTATTAATTTAGTTGTAAATTATGAGTTTTTAAAACTTTTATTGACTTTTGTGAATGAAACTTTAATACAGTATTTTGCATGACAAAAACAAGCATGCCTAGGCAGCTGTTGACTGTCTGCATATCATAAAGAAATTTATGAAAATTTGAAATCAATTCCTCCCATGTATAAAATACAGTAGTCATAAATGGATGGTTAAAGAGATCAGAAATAGGATTTATTTTTTAATGAGTTATATAGTGTAATTTTAATTATCTGGGTGCATATTGTTTGCGTATGGCATGCCTGTGCATGCACACTCAATGCTACGTATGGGAGTGTGTAAAAAAGGAACATGTGCAAGTTCAGTCACGAAGTTCACGGAGTCACAGTTCTTTCTAATATAGAAATTGTAGATTTATCTGATTGTGAAAAAGTCAAGGAAATAACTGAAGTTGTATGCCAAAGCATTGAAAATGTAAAATTTTTTAAGATGTTGATCAGGAAAACATCAAGGAATGGTTTGATGGCCATTTAACTGAGCCAAGCTTTCAGTGTTTAAATGATGTGGATGATTTCATTTCAAATATCACAAAAACAGAGTGGCAGAGAGGGATGCTGATAATACAAGTGAAGAAAGAACATACTGGCAATACTTTTTTAATTTCAAGTGTAAAATAGTAGTAAAATTACATTTGTTAATGTATTTATTCCATCAATTACACATGGAAATTACATAAATTCAGTTACATTATTTTGTTTTGATTGTCCAGAATAACATTTGCTATCATAATAGGTCTCGCATCTTTATTGGAAAATGCCTTTTGGTATATTTTCTTCAAACTGAAAACTTTGATAATGCATCTTAAATTTTTTATCACACTTTGACCCGTATGCTGCAGTTCTGGAGTGGTATTTTTTTTGGAGGGGGGGGGAACTCTAACATTTTTGTGCATGTCTTTGGTATCTTGAGAGTGAGCATTGCAGTTGTCTATCAGTAGACCAACTTTTTGTTTCTGTACACTCATTCATTTATCTAAATTTAAATGTCTGAGGTTATCCATGAGTTCTTGTTGAAATCATAATCTATTTCCAGTGATTTAATACTTCTAAAACATCTTGGATGTTTACTCTTTCCTGTAAGTAAATGTTTCAGTGTTTCATTTCCTTTAACTGTAACTGTAACTGTAACTTTGCTGTGCTTGCTTCCAAAACATTCTCTCTCTCTTTTTTTTTTAATGTATAAGATGTATGAGGGAGCCTTGAAAATGCAGAAAAGCTGTAATATTGTGTTATATACATCATAATTTAACTTGAAAGCAGATACAAAATGAAACAAGCTGCCTTCTTTTGCTATAATTGCTTGCTTTCAAATCATTAGCAAGGAGATGTCAGATGGAATGTAGTAGCCTTATTTCTCTAAAAAGTGAGTGCACACTTGTGCTGCCCTATAGAGGCATACTGTTGAGCCCTATAGAGGCTGCCATCACTGTATTTGCCAAGAGGCTGAAAATTTTGTTTAGATGCCACAGCTGTTAATTAACCCCTAATGGTAATTTTGTCTTAACCGCTTCCCTTACACATTTTTTTGAAAAAAATTGCAAGAAATCATCACATTTTTTATTTTATTATTAAATACAAGGAAATGAAACAAAACAAAATATGTAGGTTTTAAGTTGAATTTTTAACAGGTATAAAAGCATTTAGTTTTAATATTAGTTTACTATCCCAAGTTATCTCGGGCAAATAAAAAAATTAAATACCGTATTTGACGACATATAAGACGCACCCTTATTTAGACAGCCACACACAAGGGAAAAAAGTTTCAATAGCGTGGTTTCTTTTAGTTCTCACATTTCGTAAAAGCCAAATAAACAATTATTGAATGCAATTACCCTTCACGTATAAGACAAAGATAACTTTTTGAGACCAAATTTAGGAAAAAAAATGCGTCTTATATGCCGTCAAATATGGTATTAATCATTGTATGAGAGTTTGTGAAACAAGGGACAACACAAAGTGATACCTGACATATATCTCACATATACCTGACTGATATCTGGTCTCTTTTCTTACTTTCTTACCTCTGGAATCTCTTTTATGGGAGCACAGAGAACACTGTCTCATTGGATTTGATTTTTTTTTTTCAGTAGCAAGAATAACATCTGGAAAATGCCTTGAGGTTATAATCACTATCGGAAAAATCATCGCTTTCGCTATCTTGCATCATCGCCATTATTTTACTTTTTTCAAGGCAATTATCATTCTTTATACATTACTAATCCACAAGCCAACGTATACTAGACAATATGGAAAACACGTGACCATTCCCGCCAAAAGAACCGGGAAACCAACAAAACTTGGCGAACTACCAATAAAAGCTGAATATTTCCTTTCATTTCCTCCAGGCCAAATAAAACTGTGATAAAACAAATCATATTGACAAATTCTGCTTTGCCCGAGTTTTCTCGGGATAATAATTAACTGCAATATATACGAATTTGGGATAATCAGGCAAGCGGTTAAACATCTACTTCAGGCTGGATGTCAGGTGTGCTCAAGTAGTTTCATAGCAAACTGAAAAAGAATTGAAACTTGCTGTGCCACTGCTAAATCTACTGTTATCTCAGGAACATGTCCGCATCCTGTTTTCAGCTTGTCTTCTTCTTAGAGGTGCTCACAGGGGTCCTGTACCATGGGTTTTCCTGGTATCTGCTGATAAGAGAATGGCATCTTTCTTCGGTGAACATCAATGGAAACATGTAGGGTCTTTTTCTCTGTGGTGATTTAAATAGCAGTTCATCTGCTACCCAAGCTAAGTACTGTTTCATATGTTTTTTAGCTGTACTGAGCCATCAATTAACAGTAATGATGCCTTGGGGAGATTTTATTATTATTTTTAAGAATGAGAAATTCACCTTGTGTGTTTTAGAGTTAAATTTATCTAATCTTTTATCTGTGTTTTAAGTTTCCTTTCTAGATTAACGTTAAGATAATTATGATAGTTTGCAAGTTTGTTGTTATATTTTATGTTGAAACATATCTGTTTACTGGGGGCTGGTTATTATTTTTTAAGATGCATTTCGACTGTATAACATAAATAAAAGTTTTATTACTATGTACATAATATTATTCTTGATTTTGTCATTTAAAATTATGTAATTCTTTATTATTATTTAAACCTTATTGATTTAAAAGTAACTTTATTTAACAGTGCATTGGAATTACTGATCAATTTTGCATATAGTGGGAAAGTTCAAATAACCACATCAAATGTCCAGTCTTTACTTGTTGGTTCTTCTTTTCTTCAGCTTAGTAAAGTTAGAGATGCTTGTTGTGAATTTTTAAAGAAAAGGTTTGTGCTTGTTTCTTAATTTTTTCCCCCTAGATCTAGAGTGAGTACTGATAATTTTATCAAGAGTATTTTGGAAAAATAAAATTATATAAATCATGTTTATGTGCCCAAACTGATAATATAAAAAGTATTGCATTAAATATTACTTCTGAATTATTATATTTAATTATTTTTGCAGTATTATAACTTATAGTGCTATAAAAGATATTTTTACAGTATTGTATCTGATTTAGTCTGTAGATGTGATCAATACACAATATTGAATGAAGAAATATTTTAAAAGTAGAATCCATTTCTCATATGTTTATAAGTTGAACCAATGTCTGTATAGAAAGGCAAAAATTATGTACAGGAGTTATTAATTCAATGAGTATGAAATGGGCTAGATACTAGTAGATACTAAATACTTGACTTAATATTAGGCTAAACATTTGGTTATATGGCTAATGAATTTGAGACTTTTATGTAAGATAGTCATTATATTGATTATGTAATATAGTCAAATCTTATGTAAGATAAACATTTAAATTAATGAGCAACTCTTTTATAACATCCTGGATGTATTAGAAATCACTGAATAAATAGTAGTAGAAGTAATTGTAAAAGTGTTAAGAAGATGATCTAGGAAAGAAGATTCAGGAGGAAGGATTGGAATTTTAACTAGTAGTTTGATATCGGTTTTCTGTGTAAAACTTAATTAATTCTATTTGTATAAAAAATTCGGGTGCTTTCTGATTATCTGTAAATTAAATAATGAAGAATCTGCATGAATGTATGTATGTTTCTTGTGCTGCGCAAAACAACGGTACCTAGAGACATCAAATTTTCAGTAAGTTGTCCTGCACTAGAATATTGGGATCTGGAAGCCCAAATTTAGAATTTGTTTTATTACCTGTTTCATTTTTTGTAAGACTTTAAAGAATTTTTGAATGAGAAACTCGGCGATTTCAAAGCGAGCAACCAAAAAAAAAAAAAAAAAAAAAAAAATTCCAGCACATGAGACTGTGTACCTGAAATTCTAAAGATATGCTCATTTTAAAATGATTTTGTGATATTGCAGTTGAATTGAATTTTATGGTTTATGTGCGAAGAGCATGATATTTAATAAAGAAAGGTAGCACATAAAACATTAAAAAAATGCTTCTTTGAGCGTAATATAAAATCTGAAAGCAGTCAGATTTTTTTTAAAATTCTTTTTAGCCCAGACGGGGATATTAATTTCATTTTGGTATTTTGCATTGATTGACTGTAAATGTTGGTTCACTTTTCAAATTTTTGCCACCAAATATTAGAGCCCTGTGTTATATTTAAAGAAATTAAATAATGAAGAATCTGCATAAATGTATATGTATATCAGGGGTGGCCAAAGTGCTGCTCGAGAGCCTGATACAACTCTCGCAGGCAATTTGTGCGGCTCGTGCATATAAAATATATGTATGAAATATGGTAAACTAAAACTATTCAGTGTCCAAAAAGAAGTAATTAATTAGTTTAGACTCTTTTTACAAAGTTATCAGAGATTTTATATTTAAAACCTCCTCCACTACTTCTATAATGATGTAAATATGAACTTGTGGCTTTTAGAAAATCTAGATGCGGCTCTCGAACATTCCTGAATTCAGAGTCGTAGCTAGGGTTTTCAGCGCAAATGGGCAACTGAAGATTTCGTGCCCCCTACTGCCTGCCAAGGATGGAAAACATGTAATTCTAAAATGTCGTAACATCAGTTTGGCGCCTCTTTTATTCTGCGCCCGGGGGACAGATGCCCCTCTTGCCCCCCTCTAGCTACGCCCCTGCCTGAATTCAAACATGCAGCTCTTACTGACATGAAGTTTGGCCAACCCTGGTATATATGTTTCTTGCATTGTGATTAAACGATGTTACCTAGAGTCATCTTTTGTTGATTTTAAGACTGCCTACGATTCAATAAACAGAAAATATTTAATCGAAGCTATGAGAGAATTAAGCAATACCTGAAAAATTTATAAATTTGGTTGCCATTACTCTTACTGAGACAAAACTTAGGGTTAAAATCCAGAATAATTTTTCTGAGCCTATTGTGCTTTCAAATGGGGTCAGACATGGTGATGCACTGACCTGCTTGCTTTTTAACCTTGCCCTCCAAAAACTCATAAAAGACTCCAACATTAGTACTCGTGGAACTATCTTTAACAAGCCTGTTCAGATTTTTGCTTTTGGTGATGATTTCGACATAGTCGCATGCACTTCCGAGTCACTTAGAGAGGCTTTTACATCTGTAGAGGCTGCATCTAGCAATCAACCAAAATAAAACTAAAATGCATGCCATGTGGTAATAACAGCAGCTCCTATTTTAAAATTGGAAATTACAAATTTGAAACTGTTAGCAAATTTAAATATTTAAGATCAGAAGTTAATATTCTCAATTAACTTTATTTAATGCCTTTATTTATTTAACTTTATTTAATGATTTAATGCCTGAGATCTGTAGTAGAGTCACAGATGCTAACTGATGTTTTTTTGGTCTAAAAAATACTTGAAGTCTAACTTCACTAGCAGAAAAACAAAGATTTTAATTTACAAAAGCTTAATCAGACCCATTCTTACATACTCTGCTGAGATCTGGGCAATGACAGAAAAAGCTAAAAGTATCATTTCTGTCTTTGAAAGAAAAAATTTGAGAAGTATTTTTGGTGGCATAAAATGTAACACTATCTGGAGAAGAAAAACTATATAAATCTTTTAAAGAAATAGATATAGTAAAAAAAAGAAATAGATATAGTAAGGATTCAGAGGATTAAATGGGCAGGAAACCTGTGCAGAATGGATGAAAATCGAGTAACTAAAAAGATCTTCTCGACCAGATTATTCGGCATCCAGAAAAGAGGGAGACCTAAACTTAGGTGGCTTGACTGTTTGGAAACAGACTTTAGAATTTTAAAAATAACCAATTGAATGGCCATGGCCAGGGATAGAAGAGCTTGGAATTCGATTCTGAGGGAGGCAAGGGCCCATCCTGGGCTGTCTGGCCATTGAAGAAGAAGACCTATAGCCATCAAATTTTGAGTAGCATAATCATCCACTGAATATGGGCATCTGGAAGCCCAAATTTGAAATTTGAAAATTTGTTTTATTACTGATTTCATATTTTGTAACACTTTAATTTTTTTTAATTAACAAACTTAACGATTTCAAAGTGAGCAATGCCAACATTGTATGGAAAAAAAATTTATCTCCAGCGCGTAAGACTGTGTATCGAAAATTCTAAAGATATGCGCATTTTAAAATTATTTTGTGATATTGCTGTTGAATTAAATTTTATCGTTTAAGTGCGAAAAACATGATATTTAATAAATAAAGGTAGTGCACAAAATGTTATAAAAACGCCCCTTTGGGTGTAATGTAAAATCTAAAAGCTTTCAGACATTATTTTTTTTTTTTTTTCTCTTCTCTCTCTCTCCTTTTTTTTTCCTGTGCGCAGTGTACATTGGTAAAGCTGTTGTAAAGCTCAAGATCAAAATATTTAAAATGCTGAATGTGACCAGACTATTGAGCTCAGATAAAAGAATTAATGAAGCATTTTAGTCAGAGAATATAAATGAATGTATCCCTGTTGAGTATTACGAGGGCCATCCAGGAAGTAGATTACGTTTCCGTCTGTGTCCGCTAGGGGCGGGGCTAGCGCGGCCATCTTGGGGTCAGAGCGTTGCGCAGCTCAGTCTGCATCTAGCCGTGCTATTGAGAGGTTCGTGCTGTGCTCCGTTCAGATACTGTGACGGTTTGAAATGTCTGCGTTAATTGAAAATCCCGCGAGCTGCGAGGTGCGCTCAGTTAATAAGGTTTCTCTGACTGCAAAAACTGTAAACCGATAGAAATCTATCGGCAGCTTCGTGAAGTGTATGGGGACAACATTATCACTGAAGGTGGAGTGCGTCAGTGGGTCATAAGATTTCAAAATGGCCGAACCAATGTTCACGACGAAGATCGAAGTGGGAGACCCAGCATAGTGACCGCCGAACTTCTCGAAAAGTCGATGCTAAAGTCCGTGAAAATCGAAATTTCACAATAACGGAACTTTCTTTGAGTTTTCCACAAATTTCGCGAAGTTTGTTGCACGAAATCATCAGCGAAAAGCTTGGTTACCACAAGTTTTGTGCAAGATGGATTCCAAAATCTTGACAGAGGACCACAAAAATCAGCGAATGGCTGCACAGCGTTGAACTTTTTGGACGCTTACCATAAGGATGGTGACTCTTTACTCGATCGCAAATCGTTACTGGTGACGAAACATGGGTGAAACATGTGAACTGTGAAACGAAATTGCAATCAATGCAGTGGGGGCACACAAGTTTCTCCCCAAAAACCCAAGAAATGCATGCCAAACAATGTCGGCAAGGAAGATGATGGCGACTGTTTTTTGGGACAGAAAAGGTGTAATTTTTGGTGGACTTCCTGGAAAGAGGCACTACAATAAACTCTCAAAGGTATTGCCAAACTCTCCAAAAACTCAGAAGAGCAATTCAAAACAAGCGCAGAGGAATGTTGAGCTCTAAGATCTTGTTTGATTCACGACAACGCCCGGCCCCACACGGCAAATGTCACTCGTAAAGTTTCTTGAATCTTTTAAGTGGGAGTTTCCTTTCCTCATCCGCCGTACAGTCCCGACCTGGCACCGAGCGACTTCCACCTATTCCCAGCAATGAAGAAGTGGCTGGCTATGCAGCGTTTTGATGACGAACGCACAGCTGCAAGAAGAGGTAACGAAGTGGTTGAAGGCGCAGGCGGCCGAATTTTTCGACGAAGGAATTTCCAAGCTCGTACATCGCTACGATAAATGCCTTAATTTGTATGGTGACTATGTAGAAAAGTAGTATTTGAGTGTGGCTTTCATCTGTATATAATAAAATTTGTTTCCTATACTTTATTTTTTTATTCCAAAACGTAATCTACTTTCTGGATAGCCCTCGTATATACAGACATTTGCAATACTTAAAATGATTCTGAAAATAATTGTAAATCTT